CAGATAATTCCATATAAAGTTCTGTGTTTATACCAGATTGCACCACCTACATTTACACATTTGCACAAATTTCAGTATTGCCTAAAGCACCTTTTGAAGGTTATTTAGCAGCCAGGTTCCAGCACGATTCATTTTTAGATTGTCTATTGCTCAACCCTGATTTTTATTATATTTATTTGTCAATAATTTATTTGTCAATGAACTTAATTGTACACACAATCTGCTTACAAAATACCATTAACTGGCTACAATTTAGAACATCAATTCAAATAACCTCAGAGGCATCGACGAAAACAAGGCTTGAAGGTGTAAATAGGATGTAACAATAACATTATACTTAGGACATGGAAAAGGTCAAACACAACTTTACATCATTTGTCTGGTATTATCTTTGAGTCTAATTAGCAGATTTATGTTTAGATATCGTTTAAAAGAATGAACATTTTATATCCACAATGGTTCCAATTAATAGGATGTTCTATTGTACTGCAATTTAGACACCATTAGTTCAAAGCAATTGAATATTTTAAGACTTTCACTGATACAAAATTATACTCTTAGAAACAACAGATTGAACAGTCAGAGTTTGGCAAAAATGTATGTCCAAAATTTGGATGTTTTCTGGCGTTGAAATGTAGTCTGCTTCTTATTTTTAGAAAGTATTGTAAAATTTCTGTAATATGTTCCTTTATGTAACTTGGCTTTGTTTTGCAGAATAGCTAATAAATACTGGGAAGATTGTTCTTTTTATTCAACATATATTTTCATTTGTTTGGGATGATGCTTTTTCAGATTACTTTAGAGGACAGAAAATAAATTTTATTCCATTTTGCTCATGCTATACAACAGCAAAATTATATTTGCATAGCATCTTTCACTTCGGGGGATGTGGAGATACTCAATTTTGATACTTGGTGTAAAAAGGAAGACTGTTCCATTTCCTAGTACAGACACCTTGATAATGGAAAATATGAAAAATGGAAAGGGTTAATGAGAAGCCTTTAGTGCCTAGAATTAATAAATCTCATTCAGCTGATTAAAATAAATATAAATAATAATCCTTGCATTTGATACAGTATTTTACCATGTCAACCCATTTCAAAGCAGTTTTCGGAAATGTGTAGTGACTGTAGTGACACAACAGCCAATTTGTATCTATGAATGTCCCACAAAGCAATAGAAAAATGGTCATTCGCTTCAGGATTCTTTGTGGGATTATTCTAAGACTTGTTTAATTCTATGGATTTATAATAATATTGCTAGATTTATGTTATCAACATTGATTTGGCTTAATTAGCTAAAGTAAGTATTAGATTATGATACAGTACTTCTGCTTTCTAAATAAAGACTAGGGAATAGCAGCTACATTCATCATCAAGATCAACAAGCTGTTAGATTCAGTTAAAAGCGTACTACATTGATTTTTGTGGGGAGTCAGTTAGATAACATGCAGAAACCATCCTTAAGAGTATCAGACTTATGATGAATGCAGCTATTGTGCCGCAATGAAAACATAAAATACTATATTGAGTAATATAGTAATACTATATTGAATAATAAAATAATAATAATCCTTAAAGTACAGACCTAGATTTGCTATGTGAAGTGGACGAATATCTTAGTCCAAGAAATATTACTGAAAGCGTTTGAATTGTAACATCACTGAATACTAGATATTAGAATGCTGAATAACAATTTGATTCTTAGAATTTTATCACCTGGATAAGCTTGATGAGGTATGAAGTTTGGTAGGAAGTTGGATCTCAGGATGAAAAAAAAAAATAATAATCCTTGCATTTGACGTTGCTCGGTACATGATGAGATAATGTTTCAAAGCACTTTGCAGGAAATGCTGTAAACTTTAGTAACTATATATTCGTAAGAAAACCTGGCAGCCAATCTGTGTACAGCAATGTACTGCAAACAGCCATGAAGTGAATGGCCAGTTTTATCTTGGTGATTGTTGACTAGGTGTCTAGGTATAGCCTAGGACTAGGTAGCACTCTTGACGTTGAGCTTACGAGTCTGGGCTGATACTCCAATGCAGTGCTGGGGTTATGCGGGATTGTTGATGTTGCTGTTCTTTGGATGAGGCGTTTCATCGAGGTCCTGTCTGTCTGTTCAGGTGGACATTAAAGATGCCATGGCACTAATTGAAAGGTGGAGACCCAATTCTGCAACTTGATTTTTGAAATATATATATATATATTTGTGCAAGTCTATATATACAAGTTATTTTTATTTACAGAACTTCACAAAATAACCGTTCGGAGTGACTGACTGATTTGGGAGTAGATTCAAGCTGTAATCAACCCAAATCCCTGAAATTTTTTGGAAAACATCAGCTACAGAAAAAATTTAACTTTGGAGAAGTAACCGCATCGAACAGAACATCGTCATACTATGTGTGCTTGAAATTAGAGATTTGCTTTGTATTGTGAATAATAAATGTTCTACACAACAGTTGTTATTGTCTATTTTTGTACTGATGTAGTTATCTGTATTATAACTTGACTAGAAAAGTAATTCATTGTGCCTCCTGGGGCAATGAATGCGACAACAAATGAAATTAAAAATAAGCATCGATGTTTTGTCTTCTGTTTTTAATGTTATGTACGTAACTGGAAATGAATTAATGGGTGAATAAATACATTATTACATCTGCATTTTCAAACAGTTCGTATAATGCAGTGCTTTGTTACATTGTGATCACTGCATTTCTTAACACTTGTCATTATTATTTTAAAGGACAAATTAATTTACTTTTTGGATTTACAAATTTGCTTTATGTTCATTTCACTGTTTTACTTTGTTTTTCTTATAATTTCCATGTAACTTTGATTTTTAAAACTCCCCTGCCCACATTATCCTCACATGTTTTGAAACCACAAAGTACACTTTGCAATATATTTTGTGAAGCACTTTGAGACGTCTCAACAAAGTGATAAAGCCACTATACTAAAATGCAAGGATTATTATCATTAACCACGATGAGACATGTTAGGGCTCTGTCTTGCAAAGGGCATATCTGTATTTCTTAGCCTGGTTTTATCAACCTTGAACACATAAAGGACTGGAGAGGACCCACCAAGATTCAAGCGTTTTAGTTCCAGCTCCAAATCAACCAACTAAGCTACCTAAATGTGCCGTTAGTGATTTATTTCCTGGTGGTTGATTGGATGCAGTATGGGGAAAAAAATCGTTCAAAGACATGTATTTTACAATCCAACAACTGTACACTGTACTAAGATGGGAAATGTTCACCCTCAAAGAGATTCTGAATGCAAGTGTCTCCCAATCTTATTGTGAAAGCTAAATTGGGTTGCACTGTTTAAAAAGTGACCTATGATTGTTTTTATATAAATTCAGTATGTTTTACAAGTTGAGATACTCAATATCAAAAGAGTGAAGGTGAACAGAGATTTCAAATTGAATTAATTTACAGTGTGGTTAAAATGGAGAATGTGTGACCCAAGGAGGTATTGGGGGCAGATTTGTGTCAGCAAGTTCAAAAAGATATCAATTAAGAACAGATAGGGAGTAATGTAATTAGTTGTATATTTGGGACTAGGTCCTGTACAATCCTATATCCGTATGAAATACCATATTCTGAATTTCAAAGTATGAAGCATCAGTGATTATAAGGATTAATTAAAATGTCTCTGTTGTACGCAGTGGCTCAAGGCATTGAGCGTTTCGCCCACAAATATACGGTCAATTCACTTTACAGTCTATTCCATGAAGCACTTTGAGACGTCTAGAAGACGTGAAAAGCGCTTTATCAAATGCAAGGATTATTATTATTATTTCACAGAATGGTCCGTAGTGTGGTGGCTGTGTATTTGTAAACAAATCAGATACCAATTTCTGCACAGCAATGTCCAACAATCAGCCATGACAATTTTTTTTGATAAGGGAGATTATTGGGAGAAACCCCATACTCTTTTCGAATATTGTATTGGGATCTTTAACACCACTTGAACAGGCGGACAGAACCTCGATTTAACATCTTGTCTTAAGGATGGCAACTCAAGACTGTGTAGCCTTCTCAGTATTTTAGAGGAGTGTCAGTCTAGACTATGAACTCAAGAGTCTTGATGTGGGGCTTGAACCCACATTCTTATAAGAATAATATTACTTACATTTGATATAGCGACCTTATTGCCTCGTCGATACGTCTCAAAACAGATCACTGGATTTATTATAAAGTGTATGGACTGTGTATTTGCACTGAGGTGGAGTCCTGCTACATCAAATGCAAGGATTATTAGTTTTTATTTTTATATTTATAGGTGACTCAACATCCAATTTACGAAGAGCAATGTTGCACAAACAGCCAATGACTAATTTTATGTGGGGGATTGTTGGTCCGGACACCAGGAGAAACCTTTCCCTTCTCTTTTTGAACAGTGCAATGCGATTTCTAACAACACCTAAACAGTAGACTGAACGTCTCACCTTTTGATTCAGATACAAGCCTGCTGGCAACTGAACTCAACTCGAATTCAAAACACTTCCAAGAAATCAACTCAAGATAGTATCGCTCATTATAGCCTGAAGTCTGTTTCAAGAGCTGGTTTGAAGCTCCGTTCTGCAGGATCGGAAATCAAAGACTGTCAGCAAAATCACATTGGGTATAATAATGCTGGTGTTTAATATAGCGCGTTAGCATCTCAAAAGAGCTTCACATCATTTCTCTGCAAAGTGGAGTGGTTGTATTTTGGAGGCCAAAGCAGCAATTTGCACACAGCAACATCCAACAAACAGGGATCAAGTGAGTCAGCACATGTCACTGAGGGACCAGTTGCTGAGCTGCGCTGAGTGGAGGCAGTGATGGGAGCGGCAGTGAGTCAGGTCACCGTCTCCTCTTTTTGGCCATGTTCTCGCTGCCACTCCTTATAAGGGAAACAACACTGGAGACTGGAAACCAGTGCCACACAGGAAAACACCCAACACTCCGCCGCGTGCGCGCGCGCGCTCCCTCCCTCCCTCCCGAGAGCACAGCACAGGCACAGCCCTGACGCACGCACGTACGTACGCTCGCGGGCACCCGCGCGCCCACACAGTCGGGTCGGGTCGGCGAGGCGAGGGATCGCAGCGCGAGATGCAGGTCAGTAACTGTGACCGTGTGTGTGTCTGTGTGTGGCCTCAGGGTCAGACCTCACCTCAGCGGCAGACAACAGGGCTGATGTTTATTAGCTGTTCGGCCAGTAGTTGGGGTCGTGTTGTCCCTGGGCCTGGGGTCAGGTCCCGGCTGAGCGGGGAGGCCCCGGGGCGGCCTGAGCCCACATCCCACATCTCCTTTTTTGACCATTAAAATGAGGCAGAGGCGGGAGGGCAATGGAGAGCTCTGTAGCTCAGCGGTTCACAGCACTCGCCTCACACGCCCGAGAGGACGCGGTGCTATTCCCGGACGCGGCCGAAACGTCGCTCAGGTGTCCTCACTCCACACGCCGCTGCTTAGCGAGCAGTGAAGGCAGGGATCCTTCCTGGTTGTTGGTCGATTGGTTAATCGCTTTTACTGGGAGTAATAATCCCTTCGAAAATATTCTGATAATAATAATAATAATAATAATCCTTGCATTTGATATAGCGCTTCTCACGTCGGGAGGACGTCCCAAAGCGCTTCACAGAACACACTGTAAAGCGAATTGACTGTATATTTGTGGGCGAACGCGGCAGCCAATTGCGCACAGCAATGTCCCACAAACAGTCGTAGATTGAAAATGACCAATTTATTATTGTTTTTGGTTTTGGAGGGATTATTATTAGGCTCCGTGTGGAGTAAGGAAACTTGCCCAAGGTTTCGCCCTCTGCCTGGAATTGAACTCAGGTCTCTCACTTGCAAAGCGAGTGCTCTAACCACTGAGCTACAGTGTAATAATGTAATAATAATACATTGATCGCTCAGTCCACGGCTGTTTGTGGGGACGCTGCTGTGGGCCATTGGCTGCCGCGTTTCACCCACAAAATATACAGTCAATCCACTTGACAGCATGTTCTGTGAAGCGCTTTGAGGCGCCTCGACGACATGAGGCGCTATATCAGTTGCCAGGATTATTATTTGTTGGTCTCTTTGATGTTCCTTGGTTAGCCCGAGTGTTTGGTGTTCCTTGGTTAGCCCGAGTGTTTGGTGTTCCTTGGTTAGCCCGAGTGTTTGGTGTTCCTTGGTTAGCCCGAGTGTTTGGTGTTCCTTGGTTAGCCCGAGTGTTTGGTGTTCCTTGGTTAGCCCGAGTGTTTGGTGTTCCTTGGTTAGCCCGAGTGTTTGATGTTCCTTGGTTAGCCCGAGTGCTGGATACAGTCGCTGTCCAGCTCCGGTTTGGAGGGGATGGTCTCTGATTGTGTAAATTCCAGTCAAACCTCCTTTCTCTAATTTCAAGGATTCAATTAGTTATGCCCACTATACCCAACGTAATATAGGGTTGGGATTTAACTTTTAAGTGTCCAATTACCACCTAAAGATTATGTTAGTTGCCATGTATTAGCACAATTCACGTTCTGATTGTGTGTTGCTCAACCCTGATGTTTACTGTTTTATTTGTCAATTTTGCATATACAAACCAGGCATTAATTCAGTATTCCATGACCTTCTCAGTACAATGTGCTTACTAATTACCATTAACTGGCTCCATTTTATAACATCAATTCAAATAACTTCAGTGTCATTGAAAAAACAAGGCTTGAAGGTGTAACTAGATTATAACAATAACTATCTACTTAGGACATAGAAAAGGTCAAGCAAAACTTTACATCGTTTGTCTGGTATTATCTTTGAGTCTAATTAGCAGATTCATGTTTAGGCATTGTTTAAAAGAATTAACTTTTTATATGAAAACTCTTTCTATTCAGACATTGACGATAATAACTGGTCACAATTTCAAATCCAACAACAAGAAGAAGATTACATTTGTTTAGCGCCTTTCACGTCGGGAGGACGTCCAAGGCGCTGGACAGAGTACAGCATTTCAGACCAGAAGAATAAACAGAAATTAAATAACTAATAATAAAATATAGTTGAATGTAAAAAAACATATAAATTAAATGGGTGTTTAAGATAAAGGCAATTAAAAGCAACAGTATACAGTAAACTCCTGATAATGAAATACTGTTATTATCTTCATACGGGTTCTCTCCCGCTCCAGGCTGTGTGACCCCATCACCCCCACACTTGTCCGGCTCCACTGGCTCCCCAACCCTCAGCGGATAGAGTTCAAAATTCTGGTCCTCACCTTCAAGGCCCTCCACAGCCTTGTCACTTCCTACCTCTGTGACCTGCTAACCCCTTATCAACCTGTCCGCTCCCTGCACTCCGGCTTGCCCCACGTCCTCCGCCCGGCCTGCTCTGGCGTGAAAGGCGCTATACAAGTGTAATTTTGTAATGTATTGTATCATCACATGGTTTATACAGTATCAACATGCTGTGAAAATCCTATTCTATGTAAAATGTGAATAAGGGACCTCCCCCCTATTTATTTCATCATCCCGCCTATAATTTATAAAGTTGCATTCTACACATCCTGTAAGTAAAAATCAGATATATCATCAAAGTAATTTTTCCTCTACCAAGGGAAAACATCAACAAGCTGCTGGGGCCCCTAAGCAACTCTTGCTTAGTACGTGAAACCATGACAATAAAGAAAATTATAATTGTAAGTCAGTATTCCCTATAAGTGGAATCTTTGCATTGACTTATTATTTCATTTTTAAAAAAAATTCCTGTGGCTCAATTGAGTGAACTGCAATCAAGTAGAGATCTGCAATGCTCCAGGTTTGATTCATGGTCTGTGCTGAGTAAATTAATCTCAGCTGAGGTGGCAGCACAAATGCTATAGTTGGCCTCAATGTCTGAATTATATCCCTTTTACATTGTTGGAGTTGAGAGTTCTGGAAGTCTGAAAGCTGGAGAGCCCCGATTTCACACAGCCTTTGGAGCTGCAGACACTACCGGCATCTAATGACTTTCTGCATATGTGTATATACATAAAGATGTACAAGTAGGATTGGAAGTCTGCTGGGCCTATTGCTTGACTTTACAACATTGAGTTCAATCTCCATAATATCAAGGCAACTTGAGATCCCACTCTCAAGTCTGTTTTTCTGGATCTGAAGTTGACAAAATTACCAGCTATACATTACTGTTTCCTTCTGGCGGTAAACATTGGTAAAAGGGAGGGAAAATTAGCCAGTTTTCTTGTGTTCGATCATCTATTACCCTGTAAAAAAACAAAGCAAGTAAATTGGACTGGAATCATTGCTCTTAATAGAGCCAGCACATACACAATGGGCCAATGACCTCCTTCTGTACTGCAAATTCCTATGGTTCTAGGAGAGCGAAGAATTAAATCTGTATTCTCACACTCTAGATTATACCACCTATCCAAAACTGGAAATACGAACATAAGAATTTTCTAGATGAAAGAAGACCAAGGTCTTTTCAGATCACCCTCCACTATCCTGGCAGTCACATGACATGTCGTGGCCCAAACTATATATTTTATCCTGAGATATCATTTTCTAACAGAAATATATCTAATTTATTCTTGAAAGAATCGATATGGAAACCTGTTCCATACCCTAGGGAGGCTGTTCCATACTGGAATATCATGACTACTTTCTTTATTAGGATCCAAATGCAGACACCGAGTGGAATGATATTCTGCGGAAAAAAGGTATCCTTCCTCCTAAAGAGAAGCAAAATGAAGAAGCTGAGGCCATAGAGGAGGAGCTGATTCAGCACCAGGGTTCTGTTGGTAAGTGATCAGTGGTAAAGCTAACATTTCAAAGCACGGTCATTTATCACTGAAACAGTGAAAGTTGTGTCTGGTCCTAGTTTGGGTGAGACACCCATTAAGTTTTTTGTGCTGAGATATTCTTCATTCGAACCAGGCAGTAAAGTTCTCTGCCCAGCAGCTCCTTGAATAGCACCTTCATGAAAGTACAGGTATTTCTCTGTATTCCCACTTTGCTGCTGTCAGATGGGCTTGTCGGGTTGACTTGATGGGTCAAATGGCCTCTTTCTGTGCTGTGAATTTCTAAAACCTAGATACATACAAGGTATATTTTCTAAAGTTCACATAGTTCAGGCTGACATTCCAGTACAAAGCTATGCATTTATTGCATTGTTGGAGATGCCGTCCTTCGGATGAGACATTAAACTGAGATCTGTTTAAGTGGGTAACAAAGATCCCATGAACCTATTCAAAAAGAGTAGGGAGTTTCTCTCAGTGTCCTGGCCAGCAATGACCAATATAAAATTCCATGGCTGTTTGTGGGATATTACTGTGTGTAAATGGGCTGCTGTCTTCGTGTAAATTCAGTCACTTCACCATCAATTCTGTGAAGTGTCACAAGTTCGGCCTCCCAGAGCAGTATGAATTGCTTTGAGTTATCCTCCTGAAGTGAAAGGGGTTACATAAATGTAAATTATTGTTGTGATATTGATAATGTAATTTGCAGCTTGACCACCTGAGTACTTCCATTTTTTTTCTGTCAGTTAAAACTTATGAAGACATGACTCTGGAAGATCTGGAAGAGAATGAGGATGAATTCTCAGAGGAAGACGAAAGAGCCATTGAGATGTACAGGTTAGCAGCTTGAAGATGATAAACGCTTGTAGGGATGTTATGGATTAATGAAATGGATCAGGTCCAATCCAATTGAAGACATTAAGTTAGTATTGTGCCAAGCCATGGTGGACACCAGGGAAATACCTTGAAATGTGATGTTTAATTCTGATAGTTAGTATTTTGACTGACTTTCTTTAAAACTAAAGACAATTGTGGAGTCCTGTAGCTTAGTGGTTAGAGCCCTCGCCTCACAGGCGAGAGGACCTGGGTTAGATCACTGGGCAGAGTGAAATGTTGGGCAAGTTTCCTTAGTCCACATGTCTCGTTTACCCAGGAGTAAGTAGGAACCTGGTTGTTAGTTGATTGGCGGATTGCTTTTCCGGTGGTAATAATTCCTTACAAAATTAATTTTTTTAAAAAAAATTAGGTCACTTATTACACAACTGTTTGTGGGACACTGCTGTGCGCAATTGGCTGCCGCATTTCACCCACAAAACATATATTTCACTTTATAGTATATTCTGTAAAGTGCTTTGAGATGTCTAGAAGATCTGATAAGGCGCAATATCAAATGCAAGGATTATTATTATAATTATATTTCATTGGATAATATGGGTCCATTTTTATCACAATAATGTTGTGTGAGATAGACAGGGCAATATGATAGATTTATATTTCACACAGAAATTCACATGTTGCAAAAAAACGGGATTAATGGTCCCTCGATTTAAATATTACTTTTACAATTTACTGGAATGTTACAACTTGTAATATTTTGTGCCCATAAATAATATTTGTTAACTACTTTACATGTTATTCAGACAGCAAAGGCTAGCTGAATGGAAGGCAAAACAGTTGAAGAACGCTTTTGGGGAAATTTTGGAGATCTCTGGGCAAGACTATGTGCAGGAAGTAACGAAAGCTGGCGAGGAACTCTGGGTAATACTGCACTTGTACAAGCAAGGGTAAGTTAGTTTTCTGTTGAAAATAGTCATGTTAACTTTCTAATGTCAACAACTCCAGGCACAGGGCGAAACCTTGGGCAAGTTTCCTTGCTCCACACGCCTAATAATAATCCCTCCAAAAAACAATAATAAATTGGTCATTTTCAATCTACGACTGTTTGTGGGACATTGCTGTGCGCAATTGGCTGCCGCGTTCGCCTACAAATATACAGTCAATTCACTTTACAGTATATTCTGAGAAGCGCTTTGGGACGTCCTCCTGACGTGAAAAGCGCTATATCAAATGCAAGGATTATTATTATTATTATTATTATATAACTCTGAATTTGCAAACATGTTTCATGAAAAATTAATTCAGAAGTTGCGTGATCAACTGGGAATAAATTAAACTCATACTCATTTTTGTTTTGCAGAATAATTAAGTGTTACATAAAATGAAACTAAACATTTTATGATTAACAATATTCTGTGCTTAACAAAAGTTTCTTCCAGCTCCACCTTACTGGGTGGCACAAGAAAATCATTTATAATGATCAAAGGAAGCTGCTGGGGATATCAAGCACTTAGTGAATTATAATCAAGCGAAATTAGGATTTTTGGTGGCACATTGCAAAATCTGAGAGCTGTCCTCTTGAAGCAAACATTTAGTTCCCTTTTAAGTCGTAAATCTATTTCATCCTGGCTCAGTTGATAACATTTTTGCCTGCGAATCAGAAGGTTGTGGTTTCAAGCTCCACATTGGGACTTTGGGCTCATATTCTTTCATATTCTTGGCTGACATGTCAATGCAGTAACGTGGGTGGGTGGGGGGATGGGAGTGGGCTGCACTGTTGGAGGTGCTATCTTTGAGATGAGATGTTAAACTGAGGTCCCATCTGCCTATTCAGGTGCACTATTTGAAACTATTTGAGAAAGGAATTTCTCCCAGTGTCCTAGCCCCATAATCCCCCATGTTAAAAATTGGTCACTCACTTCTAGGTGTGCAAAGTGGATGCCATGTTCGTCGATTAAAATATACAGTCACTAGACTTTACAATAAATCCTTTCATGCACTTTGAGACATACCCCTGACATGAAAGGCACTATAAAACATGCAAGGATACTTATTATTATTTAAAACAGCTTTCATAGAGTATATGGATAATCTATATGCTGTTGCAGGGACAAAAAGAATACATTAAAATGGATTAGAAAATAATTCAAGGAGTAGAATTTAATGAAATGGCGCATAAACCTAAATATTAAAGGTAGAATGTAAGCGAAATAGAAGGAATCAGGGAAGATTGCCTTTGTGGATTAGTAAAACATTTTGTATAAAACTTTTGAGATTTTTAACTCTTAATATTTTAATATAACATGTTGGTAATATGCAATTACTATTTTCTTAACCATGTTTTTTTTTCTGTTTAAACTTTGCATGTAAATAGGATACCTTTGTGCACATTGATAAACCAGCACCTGAGTCATCTTGCCAGGAAGTTTCCAGCAACTAAATTTATTAAAGCTATATCGACAACATGCATAGCCAACTATCCTGACAGGAACCTCCCAACAGTCTTTGTGTATCGGAACGGTGACATCAAGGCACAGTACATCGGCCCCTTAGTATTTGGAGGCATGAATTTAACAAAGGATGGTGAGTGATCGAGGAAATTATTTTATACACAACTGAAACTTAACTGAATTGTCTTTGAAACTTAAATTGAAATCTTTCACCCTGTTCAAATCAGAATGCAACATTAGTAAATAATGCTTATTTAGAATTACCACATGCCTTTGAGATCCTCCTTATACATTGATAACAACGTACTGGATGCCTGTAATTTTAGTTCGGATGGTCTATAGCAAGTAAATACTATCTATGTAACATTAAGTACAGGTTTGGAATGTAGTGCAGGATGCAGAATATAAGTGAGACGGTACCAATTCAATAGAATGTGATTCTAGCCACGACGTTATCTACTGCTGGGTGCAAGGCTTTCATGCGATTTTTTCCAGGGACATGTGGAATAAGAGTAGTTCGTTACAAGAGAAAAGTTGCAAATAGCAGCTCAACAGATTTTAGATTCTGCTTCATCTGTGTGGAGATAGGACAGATTCCAGTCACCGTTAGCGTCAAGACTGAGAGTCATCTTTCAAATGGTCTGCAATGTAAGGCCAGTTTAATTTGTCTACAATAATCCACAATATGGATTTTGCAGTTGCCTGTGACTTCTTTACATTGTATGAGATTTATTAATTGCCTTGTTTTCCTGCTGAATTGCCTGTTAAATTAGTGACTGCATTGCAGGCAGTGGAACTGACATTTCTGTAATAGAATGTAGACCGATAGCTTACAATTCCATTGCAGAGAAATGATGCAAATCTGAAGGAGACACAGTGAGACTGCATTTCACACGTTCAGGTTTGGCCCACAAGCAGATATATCACTGTTCCCCATAACATAATTCAACATTAGCATAAGGAATGCATTAATATTTCCAAACAGTATAATGTAAAAAGAAGCAAGATTCTCCACCATTTGGAGTGAAGTAATAAAAAATTTGCATTGATAATTTGACTGAGTGCCAGCCTTTATTCAGTAGTTAATTCCACCTTGTTCATGGTGTTGAAGAATAGCCCCCTCTCCTGGGGGCACTATATAAATTGTGGGAAGTGGGGACAGTCATAAAGTAGACACTGAGAGACTGTTTCCCCTGGTAGGAGAATCTATAACCAGGGGTCACAGTCTTAAAATTAAGGGTCAGCCTTTTAGAACAGAGTTGAGGAAACATTTCTTCACTCAGAGGGTAGTGAATTTATGGAATTCACTATCCCAGAAGGCTGTAGATGCTCAGTCCTTGAACATCTTCAAAGCTGAGACTGATAGATTTTTTAAAAATAGAGGGATTAGGGGATATGGGGACAGGGCAGGCAATTAGAGTTAGGTCAGAAGATCAGCCATGATCTTTTTGAATGGGGGGGCAGACTCGAGGGGCCGAATGGCCTACTCTTGCTCCTAATCCTTATGTTCTTATATAGAATACATTAGAATGTACAGAAACAGGCCATTCGGCCCAACTGGTCGATGCCGGTGTTTATGCTCCACATGAGCCTCCTTCTGCCCTTCCTCAACTAAGCCTTCAAGCATAAACTTCTATTCCTTTCTCCCTCATGTACCTATCTAGCTTTCGCTTAAATACATCAATACTATTTGCCTCCACAACTCCTTGTGGAAGCATGTTCCACATTTCCACTACTCTCTGTGTGAAGAAATTTCTTCTAACTTCTCTATTTGATCTATTTGTGACTATTTTATATTGAATGCCACTAGTTTTGAATCAACTACATTCAGTAACAGATAAAATCGGGGAATTTTAAGATGTAAAATTGGTATCCACACAATACTTGTCCAGTTAAGCCCACACCACCCTTTTATGGCTTTGGCTTTCAGAGACATTCCAATACTGTGGGTGCCTGACACGTGTGGAAACCCATCACCATGCTTTAGAGTATCCAAATCAAACAGAGTAACATGGATCCTATCAACACATGGAAATGGAGTGTGCATTCTCTCCCTGGAGAGATATATCCTGCTTACCTAATTCTGGAGAGTATTAGATACAGGTTCTTAACAACCAGGTCTTGGGGCCCTCAGATTACGCGTTGAGGTACTGCTGGAGTCTAACCAGCTAAAAGTGTATAGCTTGCCATTAAGAGCATTGTCTGGAAAGCTTCCTGCTACTTATCCAGCTAGGACCCACCCCCCCCCCCCCCCCCCCCCCCCCCTCCTACAATTAGAGATTTGGCTTGCTGGGTTACAAGAAGTAAGTGGGAAGAATCCCTGCCCCAAGTAACTGGTTCCAAGATGCTACCTCTTGTGAAGGGCACTATATAAATGCAATTTGTTGGTCTGCTCCTCCAAATCCTGCCAATGAGACCTCACTTGCCTCTCTTCCCCCTTCCCAAGAAGGATAGTCAATAGTTGGTCACTGTATATGCCCCAAACATGTATATTATAGTTTATATTTGGTTCTTATTTTATCTACCTCAAAACAATGAAAGGCTGAATCCTCTTAAATTCAAACCCAGGGCCTTCAATTAACTGAGCTACTGGAATTAGAGGAAATTTAAATGACACCCACCATTACTAGTTTGCTTAAAAATGTTTGAATGATAGAGATATTGGACCATTTCTAATTTTCTCCTGTATTCTTTTACATTCCTTCGACTTTCATTGAAGAAATGGAATGGAAACTGTCAGAATGCGGTGCAATCAAATCAGAGCTAGAGGAGAACCCACGAAAACAGATTGAAGATAAACTGATGTCCTCCATCAGAAGTGGTGCTCCACCAAGGAGAAACAGTGATTCTGAAGAAGATTAGTCATTTAAATCCAGTGAATTTATGTGTGTAACGAAAATGACAACAGAAGGAACCTGATAACTGTCAACAGCTTTTCTTTTACATTGTACTGTATTCCTATTCATTATGGTTTAATTTTCCACAGTCTTGCAACAGAGAATTTACCTTTAAGCAACAAATCACCTGACTGTGGTTGCAATATTACCTCCTGAATTTATACCGTCTTTATTTTACTGGATGTGTCTGATGTTAACAGCTGAGGTATTTAATCAATGATTTTGAAGTGCTAAATGTGATCACCAAATTCAGCACTTTAAACTTTTGTACCATATAATCCATCTTCACCAGACTCATCACTCTTTGATGTTCTTGGTCACAATCTTCAACTGGTGTAATTGCTGTTATCTAGCTGAAGTAGTTTAATTGCAAGAGTTTAAAGTGAGACACATACTGTATACACTCTTGTTTGTTTTTAAAAAATCATTGTAATACTTTGTGACAAAGACATAAGCTAAGCATAAATTATTTTTTCCAATAATATATAAAACCCAATTAAAACAATTTCAGAAAAACAGTGGAATTGGATAAATCAGAGAGACCCATTTTGCTTCCTTTTGCCTGCCTATCAGTGGCCTTATTTTCAATATGTGGTACTAGCAGTATTCTTTAACAGAAAGCAAGACATTTTATAAAGCTCAATTACAAAATCTTGTTTCTATTCACTAATAAAGCCATTGAATTTGCTACTATTTTCTTTTGTTATCAAGCATCATTTATTTGTAATACAATTTCTCAACGGAGATAGCAATAGAAGTACTACAATTGGCCTAAATTGGGAAGGGAAAAGTTATACTGGGGTTCTTTCTCTTGATTGTTATTCGGTTTTCCCTATTGGAAAATGCACATTGGATGAGAGCAAAATCAGCTTCCAAATAGCAAACTCACTATTACTGTCTGGGGTCACTCCTGAAAACCAGCTGCTCAGATGAGTTACTGAAAGACCCCATACCCCAATCTTCAGCACAGATAAGAATAAGTTTGGGGCGGAGGAGGAAATGGCAACAAAAAGGTTGCCATTTCTCTGTAGCTAAAGGATTTAGTTCCCAAACAAAGACTAGTATAAACTTCCCGAGTGACTTTTATCTGTTTTCACCAAAATAGAGTGTTTTTTCGAGTACTTCGGTCATTTGAGGAGAAAAGCACTTGACTGGACTAATGCCACATTCTGAATGAGAGTTGTGTGTGCCTTCAGCCACTACGCCCCGAAGCTATGGAACTCCCTCCCTCAACCCTTCGCCTTGCCCCCTCTTTCCCCATTTTCGGATTGCACCTGAAGAGCTTTCTCTTTCTCTTCAACTGTGCCTATGGTCACCTTCCCCCTCCCCCTAGCTCGGCATCGGGCTCCGCCATTGTTAAGCACTCTGGGATGCTGCTTGGCTTGGAGGGCGCTATATAAAGCAGATATATCACTGTTCCCCATAACATAATTCAACATTAGCATAAGGAATGCATTAATATTTCCAAACAGTATAATGTAAAAAGAAGCAAGATTCTCCACCATTTGGAGTGAAGTAATAAAAAATTTGCATTGATAATTTGACTGAGTGCCAGCCTTTATTCAGTAGTTAATTCCACCTTGTTCATGGTGTTGAAGAATAGCCCCCTCTCCTGGGGGCACTATATAAATTGTGGGAAGTGGGGACAGTCATAAAGTAGACACTGAGAGACTGTTTCCCCTGGTAGGAGAATCTATAACCAGGGGTCACAGTCTTAAAATTAAGGGTCAGCCTTTTAGAACAGAGTTGAGGAAACATTTCTTCACTCAGAGGGTAGTGAATTTATGGAATTCACTATCCCAGAAGGCTATAGATGCTCAGTCCTTGAACATCTTCAAAGCTGAGACTGATAGATTTTTTAAAAATAGAGGGATTAGGGGATATGGGGACAGGGCAGGCAATTAGAGTTAGGTCAGAAGATCAGCCATGATCTTTTTGAATGGGGGGGCAGACTCGAGGGGCCGAATGGCCTACTCTTGCTCCTAATCCTTATGTTCTTATATAGAATACATTAGAATGTACAGAAACAGGCCATTCGGCCCAACTGGTCGATGCCGGTGTTTATGCTCCACATGAGCCTCCTTCTGCCCTTCCTCAACTAAGCCTTCAAGCATAAACTTCTATTCCTTTCTCCCTCATGTACCTATCTAGCTTTCGCTTAAATACATCAATACTATTTGCCTCCACAACTCCTTGTGGAAGCATGTTCCACATTTCCACTACTCTCTGTGTGAAGAAATTTCTTCTAACTTCTCTATTTGATCTATTTGTGACTATTTTATATTGAATGCCACTAGTTTTGAATCAACTACATTCAGTAACAGATAAAATCGGGGAATTTTAAGATGTAAAATTGGTATCCACACAATACTTGTCCAGTTAAGCCCACACCACCCTTTTATGGCTTTGGCTTTCAGAGACATTCCAATACTGTGGGTGCCTGACACGTGTGGAAACCCATCACCATGCTTTAGAGTATCCAAATCAAACAGAGTAACATGGATCCTATCAACACATGGAAATGGAGTGTGCATTCTCTCCCTGGAGAGATATATCCTGCTTACCTAATTCTGGAGAGTATTAGATACAGGTTCTTAACAACCAGGTCTTGGGGCCCTCAGATTACGCGTTGAGGTACTGCTGGAGTCTAACCAGCTAAAAGTGTATAGCTTGCCATTAAGAGCATTGTCTGGAAAGCTTCCTGCTACTTATCCAGCTAGGACCCACCCCCCCCCCCCCCCCCCCCCACCCCCCCCCTCCTACAATTAGAGATTTGGCTTGCTGGGTTACAAGAAGTAAGTGGGAAGAATCCCTGCCCCAAGTAACTGGTTCCAAGATGCTACCTCTTGTGAAGGGCACTATATAAATGCAATTTGTTGGTCTGCTCCTCCAAATCCTGCCAATGAGACCTCACTTGCCTCTCTTCCCCCTTCCCAGAAGGATAGTCAATAGTTGGTCACTGTATATGCCCCAAACATGTATATTATAGTTTATATTTGGTTCTTATTTTATCTACCTCAAAACAATGAAAGGCTGAATCCTCTTAAATTCAAACCCAGGGCCTTCAATTAACTGAGCTACTGGAATTAGAGGAAATTTAAATGACACCCACCATTACTAGTTTGCTTAAAAATGTTTGAATGATAGAGATATTGGACCATTTCTAATTTTCTCCTGTATTCTTTTACATTCCTTCGACTTTCATTGAAGAAATGGAATGGAAACTGTCAGAATGCGGTGCAATCAAATCAGAGCTAGAGGAGAACCCACGAAAACAGATTGAAGATAAACTGATGTCCTCCATCAGAAGTGGTGCTCCACCAAGGAGAAACAGTGATTCTGAAGAAGATTAGTCATTTAAATCCAGTGAATTTATGTGTGTAACGAAAATGACAACAGAAGGAACCTGATAACTGTCAACAGCTTTTCTTTTACATTGTACTGTATTCCTATTCATTATGGTTTAATTTTCCACAGTCTTGCAACAGAGAATTTACCTTTAAGCAACAAATCACCTGACTGTGGTTGCAATATTACCTCCTGAATTTATACCGTCTTTATTTTACTGGATGTGTCTGATGTTAACAGCTGAGGTATTTAATCAATGATTTTGAAGTGCTAAATGTGATCACCAAATTCAGCACTTTAAACTTTTGTACCATATAATCCATCTTCACCAGACTCATCACTCTTTGATGTTCTTGGTCACAATCTTCAACTGGTGTAATTGCTGTTATCTAGCTGAAGTAGTTTAATTGCAAGAGTTTAAAGTGAGACACATACTGTATACACTCTTGTTTGTTTTTAAAAAATCATTGTAATACTTTGTGACAAAGACATAAGCTAAGCATAAATTATTTTTTCCAATAATATATAAAACCCAATTAAAACAATTTCAGAAAAACAGTGGAATTGGATAAATCAGAGAGACCCATTTTGCTTCCTTTTGCCTGCCTATCAGTGGCCTTATTTTCAATATGTGGTACTAGCAGTATTCTTTAACAGAAAGCAAGACATTTTATAAAGCTCAATTACAAAATCTTGTTTCTATTCACTAATAAAGCCATTGAATTTGCTACTATTTTCTTTTGTTATCAAGCATCATTTATTTGTAATACAATTTCTCAACGGAGATAGCAATAGAAGTACTACAATTGGCCTAAATTGGGAAGGGAAAAGTTATACTGGGGTTCTTTCTCTTGATTGTTATTCGGTTTTCCCTATTGGAAAATGCACATTGGATGAGAGCAAAATCAGCTTCCAAATAGCAAACTCACTATTACTGTCTGGGGTCACTCCTGAAAACCAGCTGCTCAGATGAGTTACTGAAAGACCCCATACCCCAATCTTCAGCACAGATAAGAATAAGTTTGGGGCGGAGGAGGAAATGGCAACAAAAAGGTTGCCATTTCTCTGTAGCTAAAGGATTTAGTTCCCAAACAAAGACTAGTATAAACTTCCCGAGTGACTTTTATCTGTTTTCACCAAAATAGAGTGTTTTTTCGAGTACTTCGGTCATTTGAGGAGAAAAGCACTTGACTGGACTAATGCCACATTCTGAATGAGAGTTGTGTGTGCCTTCAGCCACTACGCCCCGAAGCTATGGAACTCCCTCCCTCAACCCTTCGCCTTGCCCCCTCTTTCCCCATTTTCGGATTGCACCTGAAGAGCTTTCTCTTCAACTGTGCCTATGGTCACCTTCCCCCTCCCCCTAGCTCGGCATCGGGCTCCGCCATTGTTAAGCACTCTGGGATGCTGCTTGGCTTGGAGGGCGCTATATAAATGTAAGTTGTTGTTGCTGTTTTGTGTGCTTGGAATGGAATACTATATTTACTTACACACATGAGAGTTTTATATATCTATTAGGACTTCCTTGATTTGTATGTTTTGTAAGTTGGTGTGATACTCTATTGATATTCACACTAACTGGATGGCTGAATAATAAACAGAAAAGCCTGTAAGGCTCCTAAGAATCTAAGCAATGTAGTTTTAGGTTGCAACCTTGAGAATTTAATCCCTATTTTAGGAATGAAAGCTCTTATTTATTGCTTGGAACTTCTGTCAATTCAGCTACCATGAAGCAAACAAGATGGTGATATCATTGGACTTAAAATTGCCAATCAACTGCAGAGTACCTGCTGCAAGAATGACTTACTATTAACTCTTTAGCTACCAACTGCTCCAGGGGACTCAGCTCCTTGGGTCAAGTCAGTTTGTGTCATGTCACTGAGGTAAAATCAGATGTTACAGTCATAAAGATGCATATGCTGCGAGTAGATTTATTATTGTAACATTAACCTGAAAACATTTAAATATTTGGTATTTCTTTGCTCTCTTCTGCCTTGACATTTTTAACTTAACAGATTATTCTCTCATTTTAATTGGTTGCTTTTTAATGTTTAAATTACTTTTTATAATGCTTCAAGATTCTGATCTCTATTCTTGAGGTGGGAACTGGAGCACAGTATTCGGAATTGTCCTCTGATTGGCAGAAAATCATATCCAAAGTCTGAATTTCCAGTTAATACAATTTTAAAGTTTGAAAGATTGTATTTGGTTGTCATAAGTGAGTCGTGAAACTTTCAGCATGTTTTACAAGTGACAAGTGTAAAAGTACTATCGCATCACCTCATCAGCTACTCTAAAATGCATTCACACTCCAGTGAGATAACTTAGTGTAACAAAGCTATCAT